CCGGCCCACCTGGTGCTCGCCCTCGTGCCGGCCCACCCGGTGCTCGTTCTCGGGCCTGCCCACCTGGTGCTCGTTGCTCAGCCCCAGCCCCGAGGCGCGGTGCCAGGCGGGGCGGGCCGGGGGCGCGAGCCCTGCCGGGGTGAAGGCTTGGGAGGCCCCGGCAGCTTCGGGGCAGGGGGCTCAGGGGCATTTCGAGCGGGTCTTTCAAAGGGACAGTGATTAGGATCAGGAGTCCAGACATAACTGTGTGGAAAACCTGAGGCAAGGAAGACTCTGACTTATTCTGGATATCACCTCTAATTTTCTTTCCTATATCCATTTTTCTGACCCTCAACCGGAGAGCCTAGGCTTGGGTATTTTGATTTAGACTTTGCAACATTACAGAGTGCCTTCACCTGTTTACACCTAATTGAAGCATAGTTTCTTTAAGTCCATGGTTGTCCAACTCAGACAGTGTCCGTGCAGAGTCTGAACTCTAAGAAATCCCAGGAGATGCAGCTGCTGCAGAAGTCCCACCAGCTCCATGTCTAGAACTTTTTGTCTGATGCTAATGAAGGCTCTGACATCCTGATAAGTGATTATCAACAGAATATTTTGCTATTTTGTATTTCCCATGTCTAGACCTTTTGTCTAAAGCTAACGAAAGCTAACATTTTATTGAGTGATTGTCAACAAACATTTTGCTGTTTTGTAGTTTGAGACTGATGTCTTTATTGTATTTTTGCTCCATGTTATTTCACACTGGATTATAATTATTATTTGCAGTGATTTTGTTGCCACAGAAGGTCTTTCCCATGCTAGGCAAGTTTTTGTTGTTGTTGTTGTTGTTTTCTTTCTGCTGGACTATATCCCTAGCCACAAAATTACATTTATTCATTTCTTTGGTGATGCTGGGCCTTGAACCCAGTTCCTGCCTGTGCTAGGTGAAAGCTCTACCACTGAGCCACATCTCCAGCTCTCACCGAATTTCTGTTGAGTACACCATTATTTTGAATTTTTGATATAAAACAAATGTGCTTTGGAAAATTAGTAACCCCCAAACCATCTCCTTCCCAGCTTCAGTCGCTTGTTACTGATGCATCCCATGGCAAAGGATTTCACACAATAGAAGAGTATCTCCAGCAGAAAGAGAGCCATGTGCCTCAAAAATACAACCATCTTCTCATACACCATCTTGACAGATTGATCAACCAGGCAAGTGGTTTGGTTTGTCTGGGGATTGAAATGCCACTATATGTGCACTGGGAATCGTTCTGAAGTCAGTGTGTTCTGATGCCCAGGAATTGGACAAACATGAGTTCCAGAATTGTTCCCTGCTGCTGAAATGTATCCAGAGATTCTGCAAAGACGACCAGGGCCAAGAGGAGCCCTTGCTAATTCAGCAGGGGCTGATCCCAAAGATAAGTGTACTTTCCAGTTAGGAGGCTTGGGCCAGTTTAGAAATTCAGTGTGAGCAACTGAGGGTGAAGCCCAAGAGTGAAGCACTTGCCTAAGGTGTCAGAGGCCCTGGGTGGGGGTAGGATGGGGGATAAAATAAAAACCAGTGTGCTGGGGTGGTGGCGCATGATTTTAATCCCAGCACTTGGAGACAGAGGGAGGAAAACCTTTGAGTTCCAGACCAGCCTGGTTTACAAAGTGAGTTCAGAACAGCCAGGACTACACAGAAAAACCCTTTCTCAACCAACCAAACCAAACCAAACAAAAACAATCCCAAAACAAAAAGCTAGTATGAATTTAATTAGTTTGCTATGTTTTCTTCTTTGAAATCAAATTTGAAAAAAAAAGAAAATGGAGTGCATACTTGTTGCTTCTGCTCCATACGTTCCTGTTGGGTGGAACATTTCAGGTATCATTGTATCTGAAGTTCTGGGGATTGGCCCCAGACCCAGCATAAGCTAGGTAAATGCTTTGCTATTGAGCCAAGACCTCACCCCTCAGGCAGAGCATTTTGAGGACATAGAGAATTGCATGGTTGTGTAATAAATGACCGCTGTTCTCGACAAGCCTATGTGGTGATGGCATTTTGCTGGGGGAAAGGGAACAGTGTGTTCTTAAAGTTGCTATGAGGATAACCTTGAACTTCTGCTTTCCTGGCCTACAGCTCCTGAGTTCTGGGCATAAGAATGCAAGGCTTTCTGCACGATACAACCAAGTCACTTCCCAAGCCCCTCTTTATTTTTTTAAAAATTGTGTGTGCAAGTGCCTGTGGTACTCAGTGGCACCACATCATCTGCACCTGGAGTTTCTAGGTGGCTGTGAGCTGCCAGATATGGGTGATGGGACCCAAACTCTGGTCCTCTGCAAGAGCAATTCTTCTTCTAACTGCTGAGCCATCTGTACAGTCCTCTATATATCTATATCTAGATTTTATTTTTTCTGAGACAGACATTTGCTATATAGCCCCAGGCAAGCCTCAAACTCACAGTGGTCTTCCTGCCTCAGCCTGTCAAGTACTGGGCTTGCAGTTATACGTTGTGTGCTGCTAAGTTCAGCTAGTAATGACACGCTAGGGATCATTTCAGAGACTTGGGGAAGATGTGTCGAGCATGGAGCTGGTCTCTTAACTATAGACTTCCTGAACATGACCAAACATAGAAAGCTCATCAAAATGTCCCCTTGGATCTTAACACACCTCACTCTTTCTAAATCCCCAATCTAAAAAGCAAAGGAAAAAAAGAAAGAAAAAGAAAAGAGTGAGAACATTCACTGCCTTTCCAAAATTGGTCAGGTAATAATGCTGAGTGTGTATATTAATGGCACCTGGAGGCAAAGTTGTTTGCAAATCTTCACTGCAGCTCTCACCTCTACAGGGTGAGGTTTCTGCAGCCCTGTTTATTGGAGAGAAGGTGGGAGGGAGGGAATGCAGGGGCTGAGGGCAATTAGAGTGATGAGCCTGTGCTTTGCCTCTAGCTCCTAGAGTTTACCAGAGACCGATTGGGCCAAGAAGGAACCATTTTAAAACAAACTACCACTCATTCTGGGGCTATGCCCCTTCCAGGGAGAGAGTCAACCTTAGGTTTTCCCAAACTCTTTTCTGGGTTTTTAAAAATTTACTTAATATCCTTGAGTGTATGTTGTATGTTTAGTGCATGTGAGTGTGTTTGTGTGCGTGTGTGCCACAGTGTGTGTGTGTGTAGAGGTCAGAGGACAGCTTTTGGGTGTCAGTTCTCTCCTCCCTCCATTGGTTCTGATAACGAAACTCAAGTCATCAGGATTGTAGGCAAACACTTTTACCGACTGAGTTTTTAAAACATTACGGAGGACATTAAAGACGATGGTGACTCAGGCCTGCAATCCCAGATATGTGGGATTCTAATGCAGGAAGATTATAAATTCAAAGTAAGTCTGGGCTGCAGAGTGAGTTCAAGAGCAGTCTGGACAGCTTAGACATTGTCTCAAATAAAAGCCTAAGGATATTCCTCCCATGGGGCTTCTACTCTTGGAAATTCTTTATCATTGTCCCCTAATAAATCTACATTTGCTTTTTCCAACAGTAAAAGAAAACTAAGGATATAGTTCAGAGGTAGATGCCTAGCATGGATGAGACCCAATACCTAGTACCATTAAAAACAAAGGCATGATTTAATTTTATATTTGATATTCCTTTCTCCTGATGCCTTAATTTGTGCAGATAATAGGGGCCAAAGAAGAGGAGATGAGCCTGGAAGGAAATGGAGCACAGGTGCCCCACAGGCACTTTGGAACCTAAACAGATTGCTAGGGAGTTGTGAATTGGGATATGCCCCAACCTGTTTTTCTTATTTAGGTCTTAACGACTGTATTAGAAACTTCACTTTTTTCTATGACAAAATGCCTTAAGCAAATTCAGGAAGTGTGTGTTTGGGCTCATTGTTTGAAGGTAAAGTCCATCATGATGGGAGTCATGGCTGGAGGAGCAAGACACAGCTGGTCACCTTCCATCCACAGTCAGGAAGGCCACAGAATTGAATGCTGGTGTTTAGTTCTTGTTTTTATTGAGTCCAGGCCCCAAGCTTGTAACACAGTGCCATCCACATTCATGATGGATCTTCTCTACCTGGCAATTCTTCTGGAAACTGCACAGATAACACCCAGAGGTGTGTTTCCATGGTGATTCTAAATCCAGTCAAGTGGACAATGAAGGTTAATTGTCACAAATGCTTTCCCAATATGTAAAAAATAATAAAGGGTCACATCAAATCCCTACTGGATTTTGAAATGGAAGTTTCCATGTTCTATCCAAACTCTATTTGCTGATGAAATTGTCACAATTATTTTAGGCATCTTCTGAATAGAATATAAATAGAATTACTTAATGTATATTTTTGACCAGCCAGAGTGGATAGGCAATGCCAAGGAGAAAGGGATACTTGACTGTGTACTGTAAAACTAATTGTAGGCTCAGAACAATGTACATAAGAGTTGATTATACTTCATAGAGTAGAGTAAGAATTCCCTGCAGAAAGCCCATAGCTAGTTCTGTCCCTAAGATCTGGGAGGAGTCATCACCACATCCTTAAGCCATTGCTATTATCCTGTGAGGAACCTGGGCTTCTGGTAGAGGATGTACCATTGAGGCACACAAAAGGGCTCAGGGAATACTTCATATTCTCAAACATCAATCAACTCTGCAGCACGACCCCCCATTTTCAACTCAAGTGTTGTATATCAACAGTCATGCCACTAATGTTATATTCAACTGATTATTTATGACTTTTTGTTTTTGTTTTTGTTTTTCGAGACAAGGTTTCTCTGTGTAGGTTTGGAGCCTATCCTGGCACTCGCTCTGTAGACCAGGCTGGCCTCGAACTCACAGAGATCTGCCTGCCTCTACCTCCCGAGTGCTGGGATTAAAGGCGTGCACAACCAATGCCCGGCCTATTTATGACTTTATATGAATGTGTTTTCTTATCCCCTTCTCTCTCTCTATCTCTCTCTCTCTCTCTCTCTTTCTCTCTCTCTCTCTCTCTGTCCTCCCCTCTCTCCCTCTCCTGTGTGTGTGTGTGTGTGTGTGTGTGTGTGTGTGTGTGTGGTGTAGGCAGGTGCTCTACCACTCAACTGCATCTCTTGACCTGTTTTTCTGTTTTCTCAAATGGCCAGTCTCAGCAAAAATGGTCCAAAGATGACCTGCACTTTACTAAGTACATCTATTTCAAGATGTCAGGGAAGTTATTTCCATCTATTGCAAGAATAGCATGAAATTGAATTTATAGTACAGTGGGGGAAGAAGAAAGATAAAAAGGACTGAGATATATTTTCTATAGCCATAAAGGCTTCTGCAGCAATGTCCAAACTGCCCATCTTTTAAATTTGGTTTTGTGAGAGGCTCTCACAGTGTAGTCTAGGCTGGCCTTGTACTCACAGAAGTCCTCCTGTCTCATCTTCCCAAGTCCTGGGCTTATAGGCATGCTCCACCACACCCTGCTCAGTCACCTTTTTTGATCTTCATCAAGCATCCCATTCTTACTGATGTGTGTGATCTTCCTTATGGTAATTCTGGACCATTTGCATCCTTTCTGACTTGCTCCTGATGGATAGGAAGACTATGTTATGTGATGAAAAGGTCTTCAGGCTACCTTTTCTCTACTGGGAGATTATCTTGTAAATCTTGTGGAGTAGGTGGTACTCACTTGGACCACGTGGTTCTATCAGTATCTCTTCTATTTACATGGTTTCCTGGTTTGAAGAGGTAACAGGATTTCTGATCACAAAAGACATGGCCTCAGATACACTGCTGACAAATGCCGTGGGAGACTTCCTCGACACTGCCCTAGTAAGGACGGATGTGCTTCAAGGGAAGATGCCAACAGGAATCTAAGTGATTTGTAAAATTTCCTTCTGTTTTAAGTTTGGATTTAAAAAGAAATCTTTTGAGAAGTTGGCTTTTTATAAAATAAGAATGCCATATTTTATGATTAAGTCATTGTGTGAAAGAGTAACAGACATTAATATATTCAACCAATCACTTAGGAAACTGAGAATTCATTTATTTTATATATTCAAATATGCTATTTGTTTGATGCTCGTGTTAATGAGGTAACTATGATTCTGTCTTCTAGTAGATTTGTAATTCTGTCTCTGCGTTCAGTTTCTGTCGGTTAGCATGCATTAGTGTCGGGATGTACGATGCTTTGAAATAACAAGCTGTGCTTTTCCTTCCCTTTTATCAGATCATTTCCAGGCACAGCAGGGAAGGTACGTATATGAACAGTTACTAATTGCCTATTTTTCATCAAGAGAATATTTTGGCACCAGTGGTTTAAATGACAGGCAAGGGATAAATCTGGATCTATCAACCACCTTACATAGTCCTACTGTGATAAGGCATTTTGTTGTACAGTGTGTCTCAGTTTTCTGCAGTGTGTTTTGGTTAGTGGCTCTTGTCACTGCTGCAGCCATCTTTCCTCTGTTCAGGGAATGGAACGCTGCTTCGTCTCCAAAGCATCAGGAGTTGGACTGGGGTTGGATCTGGTGTCTGCCTAGGTTCTGATGCTAGAGGCCTGGTCCTGCTGAACATAATGTGAAATAGTTAGATCACTGTGCACAGACAGCTCTGTGAAGGGATTAATCAGGCATGGGACTAGATAAGCCATGAGAATGGGAACCAACTGCTTGGTTGTAATTACTTATTGGAGAGATTTTAGCTGTTGCCTTTTGCTTTTGCCCTCGCTGCTTCCCATGTGACCCTTTCCACGTCATGGGACTCCATCCACCATGGGTTCCTCCCCAGAAGTAACAGACTATGCCGTCATGCTGTTCAGCCTCCAGAACTGTAAGCTAAATCATCTTCTGTGTTAAATGGACCCAGCTTCAGGTATCTGGTTATAGCGGCAGACAGTTGCCTAAGACACAAGCCAGCAAGATTAGGCTACAATTGATTTAACTTGGAACTGATATTGATTTACTTTGGAGCCAATGAAGATAGCTTTGTCTTTCCATTAAATACAAAGTAAAATACCCAAAAGGCAAAGTTTTGTTTCATTCAGTTCCAGTTAAAGTGTAGTTTGGAATTTTGAATTATGATAGCTTGAAAGCAAAGGCACACTTGGAATATTTGAGCATCCCAGAACACATGGCCATCACAATATGAAATGTCATTTTCCTGGGGTGCTATTTGGATTTAAGAAGATGTTAACAAGCTGATGTTATGTTCCCCAATGGATGGTGACTGAATTAGCCACATTTTTTTGTCACTGACTATAAATGGCCATTGAAAAGCAGCTTACAGAGGGAGAGATTTATTTCACCCCAGGCTTTGAGGAGTTGCAGTCCATCATGTCCGGGAATGCATGGTGGTAGGAAGCTATGAGCAGTAGGAGCATGGGGGCAGCTGCTTACTCACATCTCAGAAGACCAGGAAGCAGAGATGAGTGATGGAGATCTGGCCCCCAGCCTATGGCATGGTGCCACCCACTTAAAAGATTACCCCAGTTAATCTTTTCTAGAAACACCATAACAGACACACCAGAGAGATGCAACCTAAATGATTTCAAATCCAGTGAGACCAGCAGTGAAAACTATCATCCCAGTTTCCAACTGCTGTAATATAATTTTGAAGAGAGTATCATTGGGGTGTGGGTGGGGCACGGTCAGAACTTTTGAGCATTTGTATCTCTGACTGAAGTTCAGGAGGCTTTGCCTTCTGTCTCCACAATAGCCCTGCTTCGTTCTCTTGTGTTATTGAAATTGTGAACAGGAACGTGTGAGTGTGTGTGTGCACACACATGGTTTAGAAGGTGTGAGTGTGTGCAAGCACACCATTGTTTAGAACATGAGAGTGTATGCGCACACACCGTTGTTTAGAACATGAGACTGTGTGTACGCACACCATTGTTTAGAAGGTGTGAGTGTGTGCATGTACACCGTTGTTTACAAGGTGTGTGTGCACACAGTTTAGAACATGAGAGTGTGTGCACGTACCATTGTTCAGAAGGTATGTGTGCATGCACACCATTGTTTAGAACATGAGAGTGTGTGCACGCACACCGATGTTTACAAGGTATGAGTGTGTGCATGTACACCGTTGTTTTACATGGCTCATGAATGCTGAAATAAAATCTTCGGGGAAATTTGCTCTTTGACAGTTTTAGCTATTTGCAAAAATTCTCAGTCCTGGCACTATCCACTAACCCCACTTCCTCCCCAGTGCTCAGTGTATTTAGAGAGCTTTCAAGTTTTTCTCAGAGGACATTGTTTTCATTGCTGCTTCCCTATATCTCAGTTCTGTAGGCATAACCTGTTTCCCTCAAGGCACCATCCCTCAAGGATGGTGATGGTCTGCCCTGTTCCCGGGTCTGCCTCTCCACTCATGGTGTTACAAAGTGCTGCTTTGTAACTGAGACTGCTAGATTTAGTAGAGGAAAACTAAGGTAGAGGGAACAAATAGGACATGTTCTCTCCTCCTTCTGTTGGGGTGCCACCTCCTGAAGTATCTTCATTTTCCCTGTGGTTCTGACCCAGCTGTGGCTGTAACTTTTGTAAGATGGCTGAGTTGTCCCTCCCTCCCTCCCTCCCTCCCTCCTTACTTCTCTCCCTCTTTTCTTCCTTCCTTTTCTTTGTAGCTATCAAAAAACACCTGAGTGTACAGGAAGAATGGTTTATTTTGGCTCATGGTTTCAGGGATTTCTGTGGTCAGCTGGCCCCACTCTTTGGGCCCGAGGTGAAACAGAATATTAGAGTCATGTAGCCAGGAGGTCACTTTACAGTGCCCAGGAAAGAGAGAACAAAGGGCTGGGGACAATGTACACCCTTGAAGGAACATGCGTCAGTGGCCTATTTCCTCCAGCCAGACCTCCCCTGCCCTGCTGCCCTTAACAGCCCACTGAGCTATCAACTCACCAATGAGGTTAATGTAGCCACAGAGTCGGCACCCTCATGACCACTCACATAGCACCACCGCTAGCGGCTGGGAACCTTCAACATAGGAAATTTGGGAACATTTTATGTTCAAACCATAGCACCGCCTTGACTGCTTTCTTCTTGGGACCCTCAGTGCTGGGGTGTAGGGGATGATGGGCAGTGGCTTCCTGGAGATGTAAATCTAGGAGCTGCCTCACTGTTCCCAGCTTGCCTTCTCAGCTTTTCCCTATCTTTCCAACGATTCTCATGTATTAAACCCTTAAGACTTAAATGTCTACACTGGCTTGAAGATTTATTTGCACTTTTGTTTTTACTTATATCTACTTTCATTTTAGCCTGGTGTTTTCTCATGCAAATTTTCTACAAATTTATTTCATCATTTATATTCTGCTACCCCTCTGCTACCACAGCCCTCCTGTGTCACAGTGATTGTCACTTTCTTGGCATTTGCTAGTTAGTGGGACACGTATAGACACATACAGAGTCTTTCTGGCCAACCGGGCTTTGTTAGATCTTTTGAATCTAATCTGGTGAGTACCAGGTCTGGCTGAGTGTCTGTTTTTCCCTGTTTATCTGCTCATGCTAGTGTGGCTTATTTGTACTAAAGACGCATTTTTAGATTTCCCGGTTTGGTCTCCTACAATTGTGTGAGTTGTACTGGGGTAAACGGTATATACTTTGTGATAAATATCTTACATATTGAGATGATACATCTGAACCTACCAAAATTATACTCTGACCTGGCATTATTTTGTGTGGAGGTCACTATTATTTCTACTTACTACCTTAATAAAAGTCCACAAACAAAACCGTAAAAGGTAGCTCATTTAGTTATGTATAAAATGGCATCTCTCGGTCTTTTTTTTTTTTTAATGTATAAATGGCTGAGGAAATTTCTGTGTTACATTATTGAAGACCAATTTATTTAAAAGTTCCTGCTTCAGGCTGGAGAGATGGCTCAGAGGTTAAGAGCACTGAGCACTGACTGCTCTTCCAGAGGTCCTGAGTTCAATTCCCAGCAACCACATGGTGGCTCACAACCATCCGTTATGAGATCTGGTGCCCTCTTCTGGTGTGCAGATATACATGGAAGCAAAATGTTGTATACATAATAAATACGTAAAAATCTTTAAAAAAAAAAAAGTTCCTGCTTCACTGCTATAGACCTTATAGCCATTTAATTTGTATATTATGTATAACATTTGTATTATTATGTAATACAAGTTCATATAAACCATGTAAACAGCACAGCCCACGTGCCTGCACTTAGAACATTGCCCATGATAGACAGAAAGTGGCTGTGTTCAGGTTACAGTAGTGACAGTGAGGCTCCCCACACTTTGCTTGGACTGCTGTCACAGTCCTTTGTGGGTAATTGTAAAAGCAAGTGGCTTATAGCCTGGGGGCTGCTGTGGCTGGAAGCTGGCTGTAACCTGCCCCTTGCCTAGACTGTCCTTCGTGCACTGTATGCTGTATGGCTTGTACTCCTCCTGCATAGGAGTCGGTTCCCACTCCTCCCAGCATCCATTTGATGCTTTTACAATTGCGCTTTCAGGGACAATCCAGATGTTGGATTCCTTCATACTTAGTTTAGGATTCCTGGTGACAGAAGGCACAGTAAAGGCCTCCATTCAGCAAGAGGTGAGTTGTAACTGAACAGTAAGTTAGTGGTTGCTCTGGAAAACTCAGAGAAGGCATGCATGAGTTTTCATTTTGTTTCTCTCCCTCCTTCCAATGAGCAGGCTCTGAGCACTTTGAACAGCATTTTGGATGCAGCCCCCCGAGAAGAGAGAAGAAAGCTCACTTCATCAGAAAGCACGTGTAGACTTATGTAAGTGAACTCATGCGCAGGTGATGGTGTGAGCCACGAATCTCTGCGCTGTTCTTTGTCCTCGGCACACCCACCTTCCTCCTTCCTTCCTTCAGCGGCTGTCTTGGGAGTTCACCAAGCAGCAGGCTGGGAAGGACTGAGGCCCAAAGGATAGACTTTGCCAGGCTTTGGTCTTAACAGTGCAGGGTTTCTTTTTGTTGTTGGTTTGTATTTTGCAATGAATTTGTGAGACAAAATGCTTTCTTAAATGATTATTAATTGTGAACTCCATTGTTGACTTATGGAAGGATGTCAAGGGGTACATCTGTATGTGTGTGGCTTTCCCACTCTCTCTCTCTCTCTCTCTCTCTCTCTCTCTCTCTCTCTCTT